TATTTGCCCAACTCACTAAATGATCTAAATCCTTTTGTAAATCAGCAGCATCCTCTTCTTCTTCACAGCTTGCAACACTCAAAACCTTAATATCTTCTGCAAATTTAAGTAATTTATTGACCATTCTTTCTTCTATGTCATTGAACATAAAGATATGTTCAGATTGGATATTTCAAATTTTTAAGATGATGATATCCTTTGTACTTAATGACATTGGAAAATAAAGGAATATGGATCAGTTTGGGTTACCAGGACTATCCAGAAAGAGAACTGCAGCATTTTTTACCCCAGCAAAAACTGCATCATATTGTAACAGGTGAGAATCCACAAACACAAAGGTCAGTAGCAAAAGCCATCCACTTTTCTCAGGTAACTGTATGCAGCATAATTAAGAAGGGTCTCTGTATGGAAATGAAGCCAACATGGTATAGATTCACCAAGATAAGGCTTAGAGTCAAATCTTTTGTTCAACTGTTCCATACCTTGAGCAAGTTAAGAATGAAATAAGTGTTCATTTTGTTCCATACAAAGCCATACTGGTCAAGTTGCCATTTGTAACTTTTATGGATTCATGTGCAATCAGACTGTTGAAATGGACACTGGAAAACAGTTGTCCTCATAAATGAAATGGATTATGGAAAGTATGTAGGGAGAAATGATTTGCTTTGGACATTACAGCCTTTTTATAGAACATTTTGCAATGGAAATTGAAGTTGCAGACTTATTGAGAGAGAAGCACAGTCATTGGATAAAGCACAATTAGATATGGTGACATGAACTTCAACAAAGTAGTAAGGCTCCAAAATCATTTCAAAATATCATACTCGAGCCTCTGTTTACATGATTATGTATACATACACACATCTTTTCTCACTTGTACATTTTAAATATCCAGACAAGTACGGTAAACAGAAGAAGTAAAATACTAATAATTTTACAACTAAATATAAAAAACTTAGGAAAACAAATTAGGTATACATTTTTTATATAATTATAAAAATTGTCACTTATTTTTACAAGATATTTTAGAACACATATACAAGCAAAAGATGGAAAATTTAAAATAATATATATACTAAATAAAGGATATCATAGAGATTTACTGTTAACCTGTTATTCATCCTCATAAATAATAATCTCTTTTTGTAAACGAGAACCATCTGGTTAACCTAAGTCTTCCTGAAAGATTTTAATGCTAACATAAGAAAAAAAAGTCATTTATTTCAGAATAGTAGTTTTGAAACTAATATTTTATAGAGCAGCTACTGTAATCTACAACTCTATGAACTTTAAGCGGTTGATAGACAGAGAAGAGCTTCATCCACTGATGTTGAGGAACACTGTGCCTATGTGTATGGCTCAATATGAACGAATACTTTCTACAGTAAGGTGAGATTTTCTTTTCCCTTATTATTCCTGCTTGATTAATACTTATTGTTGACATTTTTCTTGCATACAGTGTTTAGTGCAAAGTTTTCAAACCTTATTCTTTTGACAGTATTGTATAGTAATAGAATTTTGGCATAAATTTTTGTTTGGGGCAGTTTTGACAGATATTGCAAGGTTATGGTATCTTGAAAGGACAGTTTATTTTAGTAATAATAGCAGGAGAAATTTTGTAGTGTGCATATATGTTCTTGTAAGGTTGTAGCAATTGGGAAATAAATATTTCATCCTTTTAAGCTGCAGTTGTTATTAAATACTTTTCTGGCAATGGCTGCTATAAAGGAAATGTTGTTGTTTATTTCCTCTTTAGTAGTTAATTCTATAGTAAGAAAGGTTAAGTGTCTAATTCTTTTTTTCTAAAAGCAGTGTGCAAGCCCTGGTGGTTAACATACTCAGACTGTGAATTCCAGGGTTGATAGTTTGCAGCCTGTTGCCACAAAATGAGTGTTACAAGTGTGACAGTGAAACCTCACTATTCGTTCAGACAAGAATACTCTGAGATCTGGCAGGGGAAACTGTTGACTAAGTGCCTTCCCTCCATTCTTTCAGTTCAAAATTAGAAACAGATAGCCCAATGTATGAATGAGACACAAAGTAACTACTAGAAGGGAAAATTTGTTGTTTAATTCTTTTTTCATCAATAGTTCTTAAAAGAAAAGTTTGTTATTCAATTCATTCACAGTATAAACTAAGTTTTATTGATTATTATATAATATTGATTATATAATATCCAACCACCATAAAAAATTAGGAAATAAATATAAATTTTGCCTCTTCCATTCTAGAATGAACACAAATTATAACACGAAAACATAAATGTTTAGACGAAATAGCTTAAATCTCATAACATTATACATTTATATATGTTTATTATTTTTATCATATTGACCTTTCAGCTGTGCCTGGCTAACAACACAGAAGTTACAATGACGCGGCTCGCGTGCACTCATATTACCTTGTCAAATAACATAAAACTGACCTTTGGTCTGTACAAAGTAACTTGTCTTGGATGTGTTTTAGTAGACTAGTATTTTGTAAAATACAGTCACATTTAAATTTTTCTGAATTATATGTATGTATATTATTGCTATTTTGAAACAAGTTCTTAAACTTATTTTTTTTTAAACAGAACAGCAACTAAAGAAGTAAAGCAAACAATTCTCTGTTCTAGTTACGACCTTTGTACTCGGTTGCTGCTTGACGTAGGTTAAGCCTTTAAAAAATTTGCATACGGAGGATATGAAGCAAAATCTTTTTTTTAGGTTTTATATATATATATTTGAATAACTAAAAAGTCATAAATTACTACATTAATACTATAGAATTCCACTATAATTTATCAAGCTTAGTAACTAAGATGTATTTTAGTCAAAAATATGAAATTTCAAGTAGACTAAAGATACGCCCTACCTCATTGAAATAATGGTTCAAAAGAAAGAAATGACTCTAAGCCTGTTAAAGTGGCTGAGAAAGCCACTAGGTGGATATTCTCAGCTTCCGATTGGTTATTCATGTCATATGTAGAAGTAAGTGTCTATATAAGGGAGCGTTTCCAGAAATGGAAAGAGGTGCCACTGTGTTTGATTTATTACATGAGCAATGTCTTAGCAAATTGAAAAGATAAGAGGCTCTTATTTTATATTCTAGATTGTCAATATCGGCAGTTTGAGTTTCTAATTCGTACGAAACTATAGACGTAGTATTTTGACTTCACAAACATCTAATTTTAACCACTGCTGCATTCAGCATACCACATTAAGAAATTGAGTAATATATAGTACTAAAATTTGAATTATAATCTACAGTTTGATACCAAAGTTATTGACATAAATTCATGAAATGGTAGTCAAAAATCATTTTGAATGCGAGTCACCAAACGAGATGACCTGGCCTTTCACCCATGACCCATCTTGAAAAGGTTAATATATAAAATTTTATTTTCAGAATTCCGGGGGAAGATATGGATGAAGTGGTACATATTGAACCATCACAATCAAAAGTAAGTTTGTTTTTGTTATGGGATTTAGCTTTCTTATGTTATTGTGTGGCATTATCAGATTGGACTGATTTTTCTCAATGTTATGGTTAGTAACCTTGAAGTAAAAGGAGATCAGACAGAAACTGTATAAGGAAGAAATGCTTGAATTTTTCTGATTTTGATTGAATCTGATTTACAAGAAAGAGACTGGGCATTTGTTTGCACACAAACACAATCAAACTTAACACATGAACAATTGCTTTTATGCTTCATACTCACTGAGAGAGAGAAATTGAGAAATTTATTTATACTTTCTATACATTCTACAAATGTTAATATTAAGGCATAAATTTGAGACATTTAAGTTGACTATTCAACAGCTTGTTACAATCTGTAGTAACCTCTTTATTGGTGTCTGATCTATCTCTAAAATGTTCTGAATATAACTGAGAGAATCCAAGCTTTTTCTCATGGTGTTCACATCGACAAGCTTAGCTACATTTTGAAAACTGTAAATATTGTTTGATGGGTTTCTCCATATAAAGTTTCATAAGACTAGTAAAACAAAAAAAAAACAACTGATTTTTGTTAAAAATAATTGTTGGTTGATTTCATGAGATAAAACTAAAGGTTCTTATCACAGTGTGTTATAGGTAATGTATAATTCAGTGAAAATCAATTCACTCTGATCTTGGAAGAACATAGACAATACAATTACAGTTTGGCAAGAAAACTTGTGATTATAGTAGAATGACATGACCTCTTTGGAGAGATTAAAATGATATATATAGTATGGAATTAAAAGTTTTATAAGAAACATAAAAAACATGGTAATACCAAAAAAAAATCTGTAAGTTCCAATGTTTCCAAACATTTTTTATGCCATCATTAGTGTGAAATACTTTAAGAAAATAATTAACAGCTTTATAAGTAGAAAACAGCGTGAGCTTTTAAACAAGTAAATGTACAGTAAATGGCTGGAAAAAACTGTAGAAACATACATGCCTGCTAAGAAATCAGTAAATCAAATAACTTAAAGCTTACTGTACTTGTCAATTTTTAATGGGCACATGATGACAACTAGACTTTCGTTTTCCCTTTTTAATTCTTCCTATCATGGTGGAGCTACTCCAAATTAAACAAGTCTTCTTCATTTAACTCTTTCGACACGAACTCAGTCAATTTGACTGACCATGTAACCACTTTGTACTCATTTATAGTTATTATAGTTTTGACATTACTAATTTTTAGTATAGTATGCATACTGTCTCAAAACTTGGCAAACTTTCAGTGAACATTAAGTCTTTCCTATACAAAGATCGGATTTTTGACTAATCCAAGTGCAAAGTGATTTTCATGTTAAAACAAAAAATACTTTTCTTCATCTCAAAAATCTCAGATTTCATTTACTTAATCTCAAGACCTCCTAAATACATTTCAAATGTTTGCTATCAGTAAAAAAAAATGAAATAAATCTAAATTACTCTTTTTTTCTTTCTAGAATGATTTAAAATTGTAACATGAAACTACATTTGTTTATACTAAGTAGCTTTAAATTTGTAAGTGTATACATCTATTTATACTTAAATGTTATTGTTTTATTGCTCTTTGAACCATGTCTAACTACTGTTCGTGCTATTATAAGTTGTAAATCACTTGGGGAAAGTGGAGCTCACATTACGCTATCAAATTATATGACCCACGAGCTACTCTGAGCTGCTTGTGTGTGTACCTTGTGAAACTAATTTATAATATTATTATGTCAGATCGAAAAAAATCATGAAATATTCATTCACAAGATATATAAATTAAAAAAAAAGTTTTATTTTTTTAATAATAAGAGAGTTAAAAGCAGATGATTATTGAGAGTTGTGTTTATAATTCAATGATGTTGAGGCTATTGAAGGTCTCATGAAATTTATTGATGTTGAGGATATATAGATTTCTAGAAGGTGAGCAGACAATTAAGTGATAAAATATATAAATAGTGTGAGACGAGCAGAAACAGCAGACAGACAGAGCAGACAAGAAAGTAAAGGCATGGGAAGTAGAAGTTCGGCCAAGAAAAGTTAAACATAAAGTTAACTGCCATAGGAGTGAAAGGCCTAAGAGTTAATATAGGCCAAACAGTTTTAAAAGAGATAAGACGTATAATTTATTCCTTCAAACCGAGTAATTGAACCAGCCTGAATGCACTTTGACAAAAGGAACAGATGATATCTGAAGTACAGGAACCAGAAGAGCAGTATACAACTGTGGTAATTCATGCTATAATTGTAAGTGAATTATAATATATTCATACTAGTGTGATAGAAATAGAGAAAAATAATTGGCTTATCAACTGAAATTCTAAAGCAATTTGACAGGGCTAAGTTTATTTTTTAATAATCGCCAACAAATCACAGACACCTACTGTAGAAGAATCCTTAGCTCAACACCCATGTTATTCAACCTACTTATTAATTACTACTGTTGTATATAATATTAAGAAAAATAAGATTATTATTTTGGCATATTACTTATTTTACTTAATCTAACTTTAACTAATCAAAAGAGATTCCTACTTTTACATTTTAGTTATTTTTATAATAATAAATAGGAATACACATTAAAAATAAGAAATAAAGTACTCGCCCATTTCTTCTTTCTTTTGCTGTCGACTGTCAATGACACTTAACCCTACTTTTTCATACTAAAAGTAGTAATGCAATAAACATTTTTTTTAAATTAAATAATGCACCAAAGAACATAGAATAATAAAATGTAAAAAAAACAAAAAACAATTTCTCCTAACTATCACAATTTTTCTGGGTTTTCTAACTATGTGACAAGAGCCATGACAAATTTATCCAAGCTAGTCGTTATATTTCCCATGGCTAGAAAGCCAGAAAAGTTATGATATTTATAGTACATGGTCTTTATTTGTTGTTATTTTATATTCTTAGGTGTATTATTTAATTAGATAAAACAGTATTTATTTCAGTAGTATCATTAGTATAAATAAATAGGGTTAAATTTCACTGATAGTCTACAGCAAAAAGAAAAGGAAGACTCAGATAAGTGATGTATTCTTTGTTTTTCATGTGTATTCTTTATTTGTTATTATAAAAGTAACTAAAATATAGAAATTATAAACTTGTTAGATTACATAATATTAAAAAAAAAATTTTTCACAATGTATGCTTGAGAGTAGCCAATGCATTACATAATTCAATATGGAACTTGAGCTACTTGTTCACCAAGTGATTTACAACTTGTGTGGCAGGAATATTAGTTAGACACAGTTCAAAAGTCAATAAAACTATAAAATTAAGTATAAATAGATGTATATTGTTACAAGCTTTAAGCTACTTAGGATAAACAATTGTGATTTCCTGTTACAATTTGCAATCATTCCGGAAAGGAAAAAAACAGGTAACTTACAATCATTTCCTAAATTTATTATGGTGTTTATGGGGTTGGTCAATTTGACCAACCCTGTATAGAGTTATAGTATAGAAAATAACAATTAAAATTGAAGTTTATCTGAAAAACAAAAATCATTTGATATTTATTTAGGATGTTTTAGGGATTATGCAAACAAAATTTGAAAATTTTTGGATAGAGAAAGGCATTTTTAAATCGTATTGTGAAACTCGATTGCACTAGGAGCAGTCAACATGACACAGTGTAATTACAGACAAAGTTTTAGGAGAAATACTTAATTACAAAGTCTGATTTTTCATCTACGTAATATTTTATAAGTTTACTTAAAGGTTGCCAAATTTCGTGAAGATACATTAAGTACCTTCAGAGTCATAGAATGTATGCTACCACGATTATATGGTGGTTACAAGGTCATGTAAAAAAAAAAAAGAACCTATTGCAATAGGGTTAAATGAACAAGTTATTCAGTAATCAAACTTTTTTTAGAGCAGATAAATAATTAATATTAACTTATCAAAATTGTTTTGATTAAAGAAATATTACTTTAAGTAACAAGTAATGTTTGTAACTTGTAATAAGTAACAATATCTTAAGTTAAAGCTGTGTTGTTGTTTAGTTTAAACAAGGTGAACACAAACAATAGACATCACTGGTTACATAATTATGTAACCAATAGCTACTAGGGCCACCCTCACGTTCTTGAGTGATATACAAGTAAAAACCATGCATACCATCTTGCACAGTCAAGCAAAAGGATTAGTACTACCTAATATGTTTGTGATTGGGACAACTAACTGGGTGTAAAGATTCTTGGCTTATAAAAAATACTGACTCACTCAAACTAGTTGGGAGTAATGTCATAAAGGAGTGAAAATGTTGGATGCGAGTTTAGTTAGTATGTATCTGAAGCTGAATAGTTTGTTTGAATTATGGAAAAACTTATCAAGGCTATTTGCCACTATCTCTAATTTTGAACTGAGAATGCAACCAGCTGACAGCACCCACTGCTAACTTTTGGGTTATGTTTTACCAATGAACAGGATTGTCTTCTGGAAACTGAACAAAAAATTATAATGAGAAATCATAATGGCAATAGTTCAATTATTTGTGTAATTGGAATGATAAAGAATAAGAATTGGAAACATATTTTGATTAATTGATTAATTTGATAACATCAGTCGACTTAATTTTAACTTTGATTATTCGAGATAAACACAAAACGTTGCTCAGTAGTATATGTATATTTTCAGCTGACTAGTTTACAAGCTTTAAATAAACACTTTTCTATTTTTTTTTATTTTTTATTTTTATGTCCATAATTGATAATATATCAAGTGGAGCGCATTTATATTATTGATACTGATGCCTTGCACTTTATATGGACCTTTATAATATTCTTAGTGTCTATAATATGTTATATGTGTGTGTGTATATATATATATATATATATTTATTTATTTTTTCAAACAGCATGTGGTGATCATGTATAGAGGTATATTTTATAAAGTCAATGTCTATGACTCGTCTTTTCAACTTCTTTGTCCTGCAACTCTGGAGCAGCAGATACAATGGATTTTAGAGGATGCAAAAATACAAGCAGGTAACTGTTTTGGAATGCATTTACCTTTTGTTTCCAAGCATAAAGTTCATTTTGAGACTTTCAGTATATCCTGTAATTTTTCTGTTGAAATCACCATAATCTTACCTAATTGATTCTAGGATATCAAAATTAAAAATGTAATTAATTTCAAAATCCTTTTGTAGAAATATGTCAAAACTGATGTGAAAGGTGCTCTGTAATTTAGTTATATTTTGTGTTTGCATTGTAAATTTGCATTTATTTGAATGAAAATGTGGGATACATACTTTGTTAATTTTGTTTTCCCTCACATTTAATAAGAGACTGTATCAGATGAAGAAAAATCTCTTGCTGCATTAACTTCACTGGGCCGTACAGAGTGGGCAAAACTTCGAAAGATCTGGCTAAGCTCAGGAGTAAACAAGGAAAGCTTAGATGCAATAGAAAAATCTGTGTTTTTTGTAAGTTATTTTTTTTAGATTAATATTTTTTGCAAATTTTTTCTAATTACTAAAAATATCATCAAAAATTTTATTGAATTATGTCCATATTTATAGTTTCGTATTAGTATGATGCAAATACTTAATTTTATCTTTTATTACTAGATGGCACTGTTAGATCTAAAACCTACTTCCTTAACTGAGAGAGCTAACCTGCTATTGTGTGGAGATGGCTCTAGTGTATGGTTTGACAAATCTTTGAGTGTCCAGATTTTTGGGAATGCTAGAGGTGGGATGAACTGTGAACACAGCATGGCTGATGCCCCTGCTCTTGCTCACATGTGGGAATATGTTATGACAAAGGAGTAAGCTTTAATTTTCCTTCCTTACATTGTTTATATATATTTTCTCTTCTGTATAATTATTCATAATTGGATGATATCAAGTGTAAACTACTTTATAACACAGGGAATGCAAGATATTTTTTATTTAAAACATATTGTTACCTTAACAGCAGTATTATGTTCATTAGTCTAAATCTTCTTTATTAATGTTTATACAAATGAGCATGTATATAATACTAGTTGTACACATCTTCGGTTCTTACAGGAAAAATGTTTGTGCCTGGGAATATAAAAATCAAACTCACTGATCCTAGAAATTAGGTAAAACTTTCAAAATCAGTTAGTATAAAGTAAATAACCTGTTTTGGGGCTGGTTGTAGCCTAGTGTTTAATGTGCCTTGCTGTGGATCCAAGGATCTGTAGTTAGAGTTATGGTCAAATCTTACTATTACTCAATTAGAGTAGTCCGAAAGATGGTAGTAGGTGCTATAGACTAGTTGCTTTTCTTGTCTTTTTTGGCTTGGTAGAAATATCTGAAAACAAAGAATTAGTCAGGTTTTTATAAAGTGCTTGGCAAACTTCACAATTTTCTGTAAATTATTTACCATTATTTGTTTTTTATAAGTTTGAACTTTATATTCTGTTATAATTTAACTCTCTCAACATGGGCTTGGTCAATTTGACCAACCATGCGACCTCTTTGTACTCATTTTTAGTTTTTATAGATTTAATACTTCTAACTTTCAATATAGTTTGTATATCTTCACAAAATATGGCAGTCTTCCAGTTAATATTACAAGTCTTTCAAATACAAAAAATCATATTTTTTAGTGAAGTATTTTTAATAAACTAAGATAAAGATTTGTCCATGAATATATTATTTGTTTTGAATAGTCCACATGCAAAGTGATTTTCATGTTAAAATTAGAAATACTTTTCTTTTTGTCAAAACTCTCAAATTTCTTCCTAAATACATTTCAAACGTTTTTTTTCAGTAAAACAATATATTTTATCTGTTATTTTCTTTACCCTGTCTTTATACAGGATCCATCTATTTGACTGATCTTGTAACAACCAATAAAAAAAAATCTAAATTACTATTTTTTTCTTTCTAGAATGACTTCAAATTGTAACTGAAACTACATTCACTTATCCTAAGTAGCTTTAAGCTCGTAACAGTATACAACTATTTATAATTAAATTTTGTCCTTTTGATTGCACTTTGAACTGTGTCTAACTATCATCCGTGCCATTATAAGTTGTAAATCATTCGGTGAAAGTGCAGATCACATTATTCTATTGAATTACATCACCCACGAGCTACTACAAGCTGCTTGCGTGTATGCCTCATGAAACATTTTTATTAGATTATCATTATTTATTTTACCTAATCTTAACTAACCTAAAAAGATCCCTATTTTTACATCTTAGTTACTTTTATAATAAAAAATAAACATTAAAAACAAGAAATAAAGTACTTACCCAATTTTTTTTTTCTTGTTGTCGATTGTTGATGTTATTTAACCCTACTTTTTTTATACTAATGGTTAGTAATGCACTAAATAATTTTTACTTAATTAGATAATGCACCAAAGAACAAAGACTAATAACATACAAAAAGTAGACAATTTCCCCTAACTCAAAATTTTTCTGGCTTTCTAACTATATGACAAGAGCTGTTGCAATTTCATCCAAGCTAGTTGTTAGCTTCCCCATGGGAACTGAGCTTTTACTATGAATGAAGTTGATGCTTATCTGTTCAGAACATGTTATACAATACATCATTTGAGAGAGATGAAAACCTTGGTTTTTTATTGGTTATAGGTAATATATAATTAAATGTAAGAGAGAACTATTAACAAATCCTGAAAAAGAGGATGTGGCAGGAAGGGTCTGATTTTCTATTTGAAAGCTCTGTAACTAAACAAAATTGATTGATTGTTTTTTGTTTTTATTAATTTTGCACAAAGCTACATGAGGGTTATCTGCATTAGCCTTCCCTAATTTAGCAGTGAAAGACTAGAGGAAAGTCAGCTTGTCATCCCCACCCACTACCAACTCTTGCGCTACTCTTTTACCAATGAATAATGCCCCCACAGCTGAAAGGACGAGCATGTTTGGTGGGATGGGGATTCGGTGATAGGGTTAACTCTATCTGCCCAGGCATCATTTACTGTGCATATCACGAGGTTTTAGTGACCTACATTTAAAATTTAATATACTACTTTTTGTTTATGTTATACCAATTAGTATAGCATAAAATCATAGCTAATAATCCATATTTTAAAAGTATATAAGTTTTAAGTTCTTAATTTTATAAGGCAATATCTTAAAAAATCGTGCATTTCTTTTATTGTGAGAAATGTGACATGTTTTCTTTCATCCCTTCTTTATTTTATTCTCCACCCCTCCAGTAATTACGAAATTTAATATAAATTACTCACTATAAATTCATCATTGCTTGGACAAACCATAATTTTTACAGCCTTCAATCTTGTTTGGTTACTGAGCCATCAAATAGGAAATCGGACCCCTCTTGCCACACCCAACTGTCACATCCTGTCATTCAGGATTTGTTAATAATTCTCTCTTACGCTTAATACTACATTATATATATATATATATAACCAATAGAAAGCCAAAGATTTCATCTATCAAATTACATACTATATTACATTGTTTTCTGAACAGAGAATTGTCATTTTTCTCTGTTAGTACAAGCTTTGTTCCTACACTAAAGATAATTACTAGCTTGGATAAATTTGTAACAGCTCTTGTCACATAGTTAGAAAGCCAGAAAAATTGTGATAGTTAGGGGAAATTGTTAGTTTTTTTACATGTTATTATTCTATGTTCTTTGGTGCATTATTTAATTAAATAAAAATTATTTAGTGCATTACTACCATTAGTGTAAAAAAAAAAGTAGGGTTAAGTGTCATTGACAGTCGACAGCAAAAGAAAAAAGACCAGAGTAAGTACTTTATTTCTTGTTTTTCATGTTTATTCTTTATTTATTATTATAAAAGTAACTAAAATGTAAAAATAGGGATCTCTTTAGATTAGTTAAAATTAAATTAGTTAAAATAAATAATGATAATAATATAATAAAAATGTTTCAGAAGGCACACATGCGAGCAGCTCAGAGTAGCTTGTGGGTAATGTAATTCGAAAGAGTAACGTGAGCTCCATGTTCCCCAAGTGATTTGCAAATTATAAAGGCATGAATAGTAGTAGATAGACGTGGTTCAAAGAGCAATAAAACAATAAAATTTAATCATAAATAGATATATATTGTTTTGAGTTTAAAGCTACTTAGTATAAGTTTCATGTCACAATTTGAAGCCATTCTGAAAAAAAGAAAAGGGTAATTTAGGTTTCCTTTTTTTTCTCTTTTTGGTGGTTACGAGGACAGTCAAGTTGGTCTACCTTGTATAGAGTTAAGGTAGAGAAAATAACAGATGAAATATAAACTTTACTGAAAACAAACATTTGAAATGTATTTAGGAGCTTTTAGAGATTACACAAATGAAATTCTAGATTTTTGAGATGAAGAAAGTATTTTTAATCATAATATGAAAACCACTCTGCACACGGACTAGTAAAAAAAGTAAATTCATTATATTCACAGACAAATCTTTTTTAGCTTATTAAAATATATGACATTTTGTATGTGAAAGATTTATAATATTTACTGAAAGTTTGCCAAACTTTGTGAAGATGTACATAGTATATTGAAAGTTTGTAGTATCAAAACTATAAAGACTTTAAGCGAGTACAAAGAGGTCATTTAGTCAGTCATATTGACAAAGCTCATGTTGAGAGAGTTACATAGGGAAAATATATCCCAAGAGAACTAAGCACACGGTGTGAGATTAAAAACTGTTTAGTAGCATGAAGAACCTAGGGCAAGTTTTATACTGTAACAATTTTAAACCTTATACTATTTAACAGTTTCTTCATTACAAGCTTTAGTCATGGCCAAAGCTCAATTAATATACAACATAAACTAAATAGCTCAGACAAGATTTATCAACAATGTGCACAATGGAACAAATATTTAAAATATTTTAAGAACTTAAAATTGCATGCAAAGTTAATTATTTTCTTTTAAACTGATCAACTTCTTTATTAAGTGAAGTATGAGATTTTTGATCAGTTAGCTTATGTAAGAGTTATTCGTGTAAGAACTCTGAAAAATTGTTAATCAGTTGTACATCATTCAGAATAATGTATTTTGAATCCAAAGTGACTGGCTGTGATGAAAAATCTTGAGTCAGAATGACATTCAAATGATTTTTGAAATGTAATTGTAATACTACAGGTATTTAATAATTACTAGACTGTTTAAAGTCCTTTAATACTTTTCTATATTTGTTTTTCATATAAATAACAAAACTATATTCTAAATGACTATTATAAAAGCTTTTCATAGCTTAAACTTGAAAAACAAATAATATGTATAGCTAGTGTATTTATTGTTGAAATTATATATTAAATGGTACTATAATACTTTTACTAGTGTATTTAAGAGGAAAACTGATAGAAATTGTTTCAATTGAAACTGACTGAAAGTGTCTACTGTTAGCATGTTGGGGTTTCAAGCTTATGTTGGATACACACACACAAAAGAATGAATATGTATATAAAAACAAAATTAAACATGTTTTTTGTTTGTACATCTGTCAGATAAAATATATCAATGTAGGAAATTTGAAGTTATTGTTGTGTTTAGACTATATAGTATGTTATGTACGCCATTGGATTTGGTTATGGGATAACCATGTTTGGTTTTAATAATTCATAGCTATGTATGTTGTTATACTCTATAGAATTTTGTGAACTTAATTTTTTATTGTTGTCATTTGATTACAAGTTTTTTTGAAAGTTACTATGAAACATGTTTTTTATTTAGCCACATTAATAATCAACAGGTGAATATGACTGAGCTTATCCAAAACTTATCCAGTCACAGCCAAAAAAACAAAATTTACGTGTTTGACTTTCGACTGACCATTATCTTGTGCTCTGATCATGCATTTACTGTCACTTGTGTACAGTTGAATTAATTAGAACTTATTCTGCTACCATAATTAAAGAGTAAGGACCATAAGTGATTAAAATAAGATTGTTTTCCTGCTCTGTTTTTGTCAACATTAATACCACAAGATTGCAAATTAAAAATATGGTCTTTTTTTTTTGAGTAAATTATAAACGTAGAATGAATTAGAAGAGAACCTAACCAGCATGTTAAACACATTGTAAATTAACAATCAAATCGATTATGTCAAACATGTTTTAAATCAGTTGTAGGATTATTATAATGTTAGGCTGTACCATCACAGATACTTGTGCTAATTACTTTCATAATTCAAGTTTAACAGGACTTCACCAGCTCATTTAGATGTAGCGCAGAACTCTCATTAATGTGTGGAAATGTAGTTATAGGAATTCTGATCATTCAATATACACTTCCAAATGGAATGTTGTTGTTTTTTTGGGTGTCAAATTTTGCAACTTGCGTATACCTGTATTTATCTATTATTTTCTAATTTTATAGAGTCTTGGAAAAACAATATGATGAAGACGGAAGTTGTATGCCACCACACAGACCATTTAAGCAAGCTACAGTGAAGAAACCTCAACGTTTAGTTTGGGAAGTTGTCCCAGAATTTGCTAAAGAAATTCGTAGTGCCCTGCAATTTGCAAAAAAGGTATAAAGCTTACATCTGTTTAAAGTATTTTTAGGTATTTATATTATTGCAATATTTATGAACAGGATGTCCCTTTCACATACTTGCATCTCTTTAAATTTGAGTACAAACTTCTATAAGGTCTTTTTAGATATGTTTGTTTGCACTTTCTATTAAGAATTCATATTTTCAGGGGAAATTTGATTTGTATTATGTTAAACAATAGTTTGTGCTAAGTTGTAGTTTACAGACTTTAACAAAATGTATTAAGTGTTTTTTTATGTATGAATCTGCAGGATGAATGATTTATGACTATATTTTTTTAGACATATCAGTCAAGTATAGATGTTGAAATCATCAGGCAAGGATTTGCTTGCTATATTTTGGTATTGTTTTGCCTTTTTTATGTTTAACTAAATGTATTTTAATATACATTTGTATAAAAATGTATTGAGCTGGTTATGAATGGTAAGAGTGTGTGTTGTAAGAAGTAGGAGGGACTTGACTGAGAGATATAGTACCTATAAGTGGTTTGATCATGGTTATGAATAACTGAATAAAGAATTTACCTGAAAATTTGTAATTGACATGATTTGAGTTTATGTATTTTAATGAGACATGCTATTCAATCAACCCATCAATGTGGGTTATTAGGAATATTTAATACCTAATCTATACTTTTAAGAAGAACTAAATATTATGAGTAAAAAACACAAAAGAACTACATACTTGAATTTATGATGTAAAATACTACCTACAGTATGATATCAAACACATATTTATTTTTACCATGTTATCAAAATCATTGTATATAATGTAAATACATTAGAAATGAGATGTAAAACTATAATGTATTTATTATTAAGAGTGAAACTATTTAGATCATTGAAATAATTACAAATTTAATATTTCAAGTGTATGTGAATTGCAAAATCTCACCTACATGTGAACCACATCATGTTAATGTTATTTAAGAAAATTAAAACTAGATCATGCAGTGCCTTGCAAACGTATTCACTCCCTATCAATAATGTCATATATTGATGAAATACAAATAATGTAAACAATTTTTTTAGTGAACTTATTTTTATTCAAAACTCTAATGATCAAACTTAACACTGTTATGTGTGAAAGAGGTTGAACGTTAGAAAAACCTTCAAAAAAATATAAATTGAAATTTGATGCTTGCATAAGTATTCAGCCCTCTAAGTCAGTACTTGGTGGAAGCACCTTTTGCAACAATTACTGCTATGAGTTTTTTTGAACATGTCTCTACCAACTTTCCACAATGGAATGATGTAATTTTTGCCCATTCTTTGTGGTAAAATTTCTCCAATTCTGACAAGTTCGTTGGGGATCATTTGGTGAACTGCAATCTTCAAATCTTCAAATTTTTTATTGGATTCAAGTCAGGACTTTGACTGGACCACTCCAGAATGTCCACTTTCTCCTTTTGAAGCCACTCCAGTGTGTCTTGTGCTTTGGCTCATTGTCCTGCTGAAATGTGAATTTTTGACCCAGTTTTAGATTGTTGACTAACTCAAGCAGGTTTTCCTCTAGGATTTGTCTGTACTTTACACTATCCATCTTCCCCTCAATCCTGACAAGCTTCTAAGTCTCTGCTGATGAGAAACATTCCCATAACATGATGCTATCACAACCATGCTTGACAGTTGGGATGGTGTTGACTGGGTGATGTGCTGTGTTGGGCTTGTGCCAGATGTAACGCTTTGAATTTAGACCAAAAAAGCTCAATTTTTGACTCGTCTGAACACAAAACCTTCTGCCACATGTCTGCAGTATCACTTGCATGCCAACTCCATACAAGATTTAAGATGATTCTTTTTCAATAATGGCTTCTTTCTTGCCACTCGCCCATACAGGCCAGCTTTATATAGAGACCAAGCCATATATATATATAAACACTTAACTCCCATCTGAGACATGGAACTTTGCAAATCTTCCAAAGTCACTGTTGGCTTCACAATGACATCCCGAACCAGTTTCCTGCTTCCCCAGCTGCTTCGTTTGGAAGAGTGGCCTGATTTGGGTAATGACTAGGTGGTATGAAGCACATCCCACTTCTTAATGATGGACTTCACCATACTCAAAGTGACAATCAGTGACTTTGAAATTTTCTTCTAACCTTCTCCTGATCTGTGCTTCTCTGACACTTTATCCCTGACTTGTTTGGAAAGCTTCTTGGTCTTTATGGTTGATTTGTCGTATCACTGTGTGAGATGTGGCTTGAACAGATGCATTTACTCAAGTCAAGTTAAACCAATTTGATTACACACAGACAGGGACCATTATACTAATTTTGTGGCCTTTCAAACTAATCTTTTGCACCTGAACTGGTGTAGGGTTGAATACTTAAGCAATTGAGAATATTATCATAATATCAGCATTTGTTTTTATCTTTCTCAGTTTAGAGTAGATTGTGTAGATTCTAAATATACACCTGGAAAAAAGTTAAGCACCCCCAAATATTTTTCAGGATTGCTTATTGAAAATAAGGTTTAATTTTCATGATGTTGAGCAATGTTCATAA